ACCAACGGATTAAAGGTAGTAAATAATTAATACCTTTTCTAGTACTTTAAAATGCGTGACCGGAATAGACCTGCCGAAAAAGTGAGGTTAAGTTAGTGACAACACCTTGTTATTATTACACCATGACAGCAAATATAAACCAAGGCGCATCAATTACAGGTGATAGCGATAGAAGCTATGCTTCTTCTTATGAGCACGCTTCTGTCAAATTATCGTCTGTTTTGCTTTATTTACATATCCGCGTATACATACACATATACGTATATATATACCCTGCAAACAAATGCTCCCCAAATCTTTAAGAGTGTCGGAAATTTGTTACGATTCTTTTAGAAATCTGTAAAGAAAAACATATGAAGCGGTTGACAAGAACTAGTAAAAAAATTTCTGTATGATTTCTTAAAGAAAATTCTTAAAAAAATTGTGAAATCTTTCAGAATTCTATGAAATCCTGGTATGCAGGGTATACATATACATACGAATATGAATAGATAAAGAAGATGTTGATGACACAAGGAGTTCATACCAACGGTAAATGTTGTTTTTGTACGATTGCTACAACCTGTAGTTGTTGAATCATGATATAAACGCTCTCTTGTTTTCACTCACTCACTAGCGAAATACAAAATTTCGACAATCAAACGCTACTCACAGCTGATGAAACAACACCACCTTATTTAAATTCGCCTTGTGGTACACAAATGTCAACGCCCAGGACGGCGCAATTTTGTATTCTATCATTCTTGAGTGGTACCGCTACTTTGGTTTTGCCGATTTTGACAGTTGTGGTAACTTGTAAATAAACCTTTGTTTACAAATCAGCGAAAGAGAAATTTGAATTATAAGTGAAAAATCAGTTGAAGACTGCGTAAAAACTAAAAATGAAGTGCTGTGTCAAGGTGTATTAAACAAGGTGGTGTTGGGGCGACAGCTGAGTTTTTCGCCGTGGAGGCCATTACGTCAAAATGATGTGTTTGTTGTAACTCATACCAATGACAGTATGGACATCAGCGTATAATTTGTTAGTGTAATTTTTTACTTATATACGGCCAACAACACCTTGTTAAATACGCCTTGTGCTGTGTGTTAAATTGCGACAGCTATCAAGATGCAAGATCATTCTTGCATTTCTGTAATTTTTTTGTGTTAAGAAAGGCTTTCAAGCAGAATCCAGTAAAAAATTTGAATAGTTTTTTGTTGTGAAACACAGCTTATAGATTCAGTATGGTCAGCTGTTTACAATAACCTCAAAATTATCTAAAATGCTCCGCTTACTGTTGCGACAATTTGGGAATACTCCAGTTAATTACACACACTCGAATAAGCGTTTAGCAGTACAAAGATGGATCCACACTACAAACAGTAAACTCTTATGTAACAGGTCATGAAACGCTAACTTTGTATCACCTTATTCCAGAAATGCTTCATGGAGAATACGAGTGGCAAGATCCCAAATCGAAAGATGAAATGTACGCAAAACTTCTATGAGTTCAAAAAGTAATTTAAGTATAGAATTAAATAAATATATTGCACAATTTACAGTGTAAATGTTACTTATATTGACAAAGATGGGAATCGAACGGAAGTCAAAGGAAAGGTAGGAGATAATGTACTGTACTTGGCCCACCGCCACGGCATTGAGATGGAAGGTTTGTACTGGCTGTGAAAATGTTTTAGCATATTTATTTATCTCTTTCAAGGTGCTTGTGAGGCATCATTAGCATGTACGACTTGTCACGTCTATGTAAGCGGAAAATATTACGACTACTTACCTGAAGCGGAAGAGAAAGAAGATGACTTACTAGATATGGCGCCATTCCTTAGAGAAAACTCACGACTTGGCTGTCAAATTGTTTTAACAAAAGAGCTGGACGGTATAGAATTACAGTTGCCAAACGCGACAAGAAACTTCTATGTGGATGGCCACAAACCGAAACCGCATTGATCATTTGATCAGCATAAAGATTAGACCAAAGCAAATCTTATGTATGACTCAATGTATTGTAAGATAAAGCATATGTGTACACATACATACATATGTATCTGTGCTTTTTTCTAAGAACGTTATTGTAAAGCATCGTTATATTATATGGTAAATATTCTATAAATAAAGTTTAAAAGTTGAAAATTCTGATGCTTTACGTCAATGATTTTAGAAAGGCAATATCCACGCAAATATGGGTGTGTTCAGAAATGCATCAAGACAAAGCATCAGTCTCTTTCATTTTTAAATTATAATTTATGGAAATTCCTTATTAACAGAACTAAGTTCCAACGCTCAATGTAACCGTGGTTGCGCGTATTGGACATTTCCAACAATTGCGGTATAGAAATAAAAGCCTGATGTTTTGGCTTGATGCACGTCTGAACGCACCCTATATACGGAACTAATAAACTTTAACGCTATGTCAATATCCAAGTTTTCTTTGTATGTTCTTTATTCAATTTAAGGGATTTCCACTTCACTTAAATAAGTTATCTGCTAAAAAAATGGTGCCACAAAGCTCACACGTTACAAAAAAAAAAAAAAAATGAAATTCGGGCAGGTTTTGCAATTCACTCCTGAATGAACCTCAACCCCTGCCAATTTGAATTCAAAGCGAACCTGACTCAAATTGTCTCCGAAGTGAATTGCAGAACCTGCCGGAATATAAACTATTTGGAGGAATAAACTTTAAACTATTAAATGTGTTAATCATACGAAAGAACTATTAAAGTAAACTACAATTTAGGTAACAAAAGAAATATAAAATCTTACAGAAAATATTTTACTGGCAAAAATTTCAAAAATCAACATCCATGGCTTATGTATGATACATTTTCATTACCTAAATGAAAAACGTTGAGACAGCTTATTTTAGTTATTTTTTCAAAAACTGATACGATTATTCCCGAAACTGTAAAACAGCTCGATTGAGTGGAATAGATGTCAAAGCCTTGTATATGTTACCGGCCAAACCCCGGCCTTAGAGCAAACAAGTTTTTCCTAGGCTAAACGTCCAACGCGGAAACAAGTTTTTTTGAAGCGCGCACAAAGGCCGCCTACGCGGAAAGATGTTCCGCGCAAATATACTAAGGCCCCTGATCTAGTTTAGCCTAGGCAAAACTAGTTTGTCCTAAGATCGAGTTTGGCCGGTAACATATAAACTCGTAAAACTTTGTTGTAAAATTTAGCTAACATATCGTTTTGTTACAATCAATTTGTAGATGGGCTATTCGAACCAGATCCAACACTCCCTTTTTCTTCCTGATCTTGTTCATCGTCACTCTTACTATCTTCTTTTTCCGTTTTCTCTTCTTTTATTTCCTTTTCTCGCTGTTGCTCTTCTTCGACAAGTTCATCTTTTGGAGAAAGGTTTTCTCGTTTTTCACGTTCGCTCTGGCGCTCTTTGGCATTTGAACCTCCACTTGTGCCATTCTTCTTTGTGCTCTTCTTCACAGATGCTAATTCTTTCAATAAACTACTAACTTTTCGATTAAGATTCTCCACTTTCATTTCATGCAATCTGTCGACTTCCTTCAATTTGTTGCGCATTTCTATTTCTTTTTCGAAATTCTTGCCTTTAAGCTCTGTTAACTACAAGTAAAGCTTCAGAAAGTTAATATGAATGTTATTTTTAATGTGAATGTGTTACCAATTTGTCTTTTTCAAGTAATTCTTTGTCCTTTTGCTGAAGGCGTTTTTCCAGACTGGCAATACGTTCTTTTAAGTTAGTCATAGCCACTACATGATCAGCGGAATTTGGATCAATTGTGATAACTGCTGGGGCCGCTATAGAGCCCAGTCCGATTCCAGATCCATTACCACTGCCATTTCCGCCGCTTCCTCCAGATCCAGTGCGTGACACTTTGTCGGGCAGATCTCCGCCTGAAGAAGCGATAGCTGCACTACTTCCTCCCCCAGCACCGCCACTGCTTCCTTTTACATCTGCAGATGGTCGGGATGATTTTTTTGCCGAATTCGTCGAACTATCTCTGTGTATTTTTTCATGTGGTCGTTTTTTCGCTGATATTCTGCCGTCCTGTTGAGCTTTTAAGAGAGCTCGCTTAAACGAATTTGTGCACAGCCAACAAAGCAATTTGCCGTTAATCTGTGAGAAAATACTTTCATAAGCTTGGTTTTACAAAACTGTGCGCTTAAGGCTACAAAACTATAAGTACATTTTAGCATTAGTTTACGAACGCACACATTTCTACACAAACTCTTGTACATTTTGCTTATACGTATAGCCTAGATTTTAAGTAAAAGGCTTTGGCCCGTAGTTATAGTCAAAATAATGATAGTGACACATGTGCACAAAACTTTTAATTAAAGTTTATAAGCTTTGGATCAAGTGTACTTTTTAAACGATATTATTTGTACATATAGGCATGTATTAACAATTTTAAGCCTTTGTCATTGCTTGTCTAACCTTTTTGTTCTCGTCGCGCTTATCGAAAGCACATCGCTGCTTGCATTCATCACATTGTATTGGTGGGCCGTATTTTGCTTCGTACGTTGCACATCTATCATTCATTGCATTTTACAGGCAAGGTACAGGAAAATTTATGGAACAGGAAAAAAAGAAGAAATGTTTGCGTTCATAAACGTTGCAATTTTAAAGGGGTTTTCAATATTCTACTTATAGACTACAATATTTAATAAACATTCAACAGCTAACGAATTTTCGTTGGTAAATTGCCGAACGTACAATATGAGAGAAGGTATACCTACATAAGTGAAATGATTTTACAATTTAGGAAATTTAATTAAATTTTTACAACTAAATATACCTGAGCAAGACGTTTATATTGAAAAGAAACACTGGCATGCATCAAACCCAAAATCACTTTGTATTTTGTGCATCCCTTATTGACTGATATCTTATAAAGCTTTACATAAAATAAGTTGTATTATTCGACTGGCAAATAATGCTTATTAAATACTGACCTTATGCATTTAGAGTTTCCGAACGCCGCTACGATCTTGCAGCATTCACAGGCGTTGGGTTTGCCATACTTGTTGAGGCAGTGCTCACATTTCTTACAGGCACTCTGGGACTTTCTAGAAATTGAAAAACATCGCATATGCATTTGTGATGAACAATTTACAATGTTATGGCGCCAATTAGCTACTTACGTTGTTGGTTGGAATTCGGTTCGACAATAAGTACATTTCACAATTGAGCTACTTCCCCGGCAATTCTGAAAAAAATATTAGATTTTAACACGTCTGAATAATTCTCACCAATTTACTTTAACATATAGATGTTTTGTATATATGTATTTATATACAAATAAAAAATGCTACTTTCTCCTAAATATTTTTCGCAAAACTGCGCAGTTGCTTTGGAAGGCGTGAGGAATACCAACTTTGGCGTCAGATTTCAAATAAATTTATACTTAGTACTTAAAACATATTTGTTAATTTTTTGTTTTGTCATTGCAAAATGTTCTTTTTTTACCTTGCATAGCTGTTGGCCCGCAGACAATTCCTCGAATGGATGTCGCGAAAAACATTTGGAGCAAGCAAACAAAACAGAACTCATAATTTATCGCTACAATAACCCTTCCTTCTAATATGTATATATTTTCAACGTAAGTTGCACAGGCCTAGTCTTCGGCAAAGTTGCTTTGATATAATTCCACTCTCAAAAAGGACGCAAATTGCCAAATTTCTTGACAATGCGATTCCAAGTAAAATAAAAATGGCGTACAGTTTGATTGAATGACTGCAGTGTTGCCGTTGCTCCCGATTTCATTTAATTTTATAGAGCTTTCGCACAAGGCGATTTTTTAGGCAACTTTTGCGTTGAACTCACGCAGGGTTGCACGAAAAAATAATATTGTTACGATTATCCTTGAACCCTCGTCCGGATTACCCAAATATGC